AATAATTGAATTCTTCCGAAAAATGTTATTATTTATGACAATAATTATTGAATTATTGCGAAGAATTTTATCAAAATTTCTGGAAATAATAAACAATAATAATTAAATAGTAAATTAGTTAAAAATTGAAATTTTTTTGAATTTTGAATCTGAAATTATTTAAAAATTGAAGTTTATATTTGAAAATAAAATTTTTTATTAAATTTGCATAATAATAAGAAATTAAATATCATGTTTCGCACGTAAAATTTTCTAGTACATATAAACAAGTAATGGAATATTGAAAGACGTCCATAACACTAACACATTTTCCGGATAAAATTTTTGAACTATGAAATACTAGCGAATTCTTGAAAATTGATACAGATAAAGTTAAAAGTTCAAAGCACATGTACTCTCTTATAAGGAAGAATTTTTTTTTTCAAAAAACTACATACATGTATTGATATATAATGAAATATTGCTCACGAAACTTAAAAGTTTTATACAAACTTTATAGAAAAAGAGTTTTCCACTTCATAAAAAACTTAGTGTTTTATAATAGAAAATGTATATTTATAAAAAAAAGTAAGTTTATATTTTTATAGTTTCCAACTTATTTTACAATATTACAGTAAATATTTATATAACGTAAAAATGTATTATAAAAGTTTTCAGAAAATGACATTTTCCCCATATATATATCTCATTATTTTGCAGGTCAGTCGCATAAAATATGTATAACGATAAAGCTCGAAAAATTAAAATTAATTGAATTATTTACTTTGAAAATTGAAATGAATTGTAAATTAGGTTTTAATTCCATTGTCCGAAAGTTTTCAGTCAAAATGAATTACTTTATGAGTACTACGTGCTTTAATTTATTCGTTTTAGCCAATTTTCATTCACGTTTTAAATTAAAATTTAAATATCACAGAATGATTGCGCAATACGCACTTTGAAGAAATTATTTATTAACAATGTATTATTTTTTTTCTAAAAAAGAAATAAAAATTTTCTTCATTTATTCTGTCGAGTTTAATTAAAAAAATTAATTAAAATAAATAAATTTTATTAAAAAATATTTTTTCGAAATAAAAAATAAATAAAATTAAATAAAAATGATTGTCAAGTTTAATTAACAAATTAAATGAAAATAAATTAAAAAATAGAAATAATAATAATAATAATAATAATAAATAGGAATAAAGTAAAATAATGTGTTATTAAGAATTATTTTTTTCGCAATAAAAAAGAAATTATTAATTATTCTGTCGAGTTTAGTGTTGTATTTTATTATAATGAAACAAATTTTCTTAATGGGAAATAGTATTAATTATAAGTGTAAAGTAATATTAATTTGTGAAAGCAAATTTTCTATTTTATAAGATTTGAAAATTTGGTTGTATAATAATTGTAATCAGAGAATAACGAGGGAAGAGTTAAGTTACCTTTTTTTCAATGTTTCCTAGTTAGTAAAATGGATACTGTTACGTAAACGAGTTTTATTTTCAATTCTCTTATTTTCTCTTAAATTTGATTAAGCATTCATTAAAAAATTATTGTTGCGATTTTCAACGAAAAGTCCATACTTTTATTTGGCTTTAGCACAAGACATTCAAGGAATATCTCCTTTCATTCAAATTAATTAATTTTTATACATAATCAGAATAAATATTTATTCCCAAAGAAAATAATTTTTAATTTTATATTATACAAATAAAAACTATTTAGTTTGCATTCTAATAATTGATTTAGAAAAACAAATTTTTCATTTTAGTTTTTAGTTATTGAAGGAAAAAATGTTCAATGTTACATTTCTATTCATACATGTTCATTTTTTTGTTCTCTATAATTGCTCAGCATAAAAAACCAATGAAAAATTTCTTTCATGTCAATTAAATGAAAAACTCGTTTAAAATGTAGAAGCAAAGTTTTAAAAAAAAATTAATTAGAAAAATAATTGGAAATTGTGACAGTAACGTCAACGGTATTAATAATAAAAATAATAAAATTAACAAAAAAAAACTAATAATAATAAGAAGAATAAACTTGTAATAATTATTATAATTATAATAAGAAACTAATAGTAATAATAATAAAATATTGCAAAATTAATTATAAATATATTATTATTAATCTGCAACTATTTTTGGATATGTCAAAGACAGTTTTATTTATATAAGTTCAAATCCAGCAACTGAATGCATAGCATTTATTACAAAATGTCAAGTTGCCAATTCTTATCGACATGTCGTGAAAACCCAATACGAACCTAAAATAAATTCTGATTTGTGGCAAAACTGTAACAAACCCTTTTTATACCTACTGTATGAAAAATTCATTCATATGTATGAATCATTAGATTCATAAATTTTTTTTAAATTTGCTTTTTCGTACTTTTGAAATATAGTTTTATTGGTATATTTGAATAATATACAAGAAACTCGCATGAAAACCGCAAGAATTTATCATTTTTTTTTATCGCATTAATTTATAGAGGAAAACAATTTATATATTTAAGTAATTTATTAATTGCAGAATTTTAATTATTTTTTATATTTTAATCGAATTCCTAGGGCTCGAACTGGGTCCGTAAATCCCGTAAAAGTATAATTTGGAGAATTTTAGAGAAATTACAAATGATTGCAGAAATTCAAATATTTTCAAAAATTTTGATATAATTCTTGGAAAAACTTCAATTATTTTCCAAAAAAATTCCTCAATTCAATTATTTTTAATATCTACTACTTTAATAAAATGTTTCAAAAGAATTCAATTATTTAAAAAAAATGTAATAATATTCTACGCAAACCTTTAATTATTTTTATAAAATAATAAAAATTTGATAGGAATAAAATTATTTACAAATTTTTTCTAAATTTCTTCGAAATAATTCAATAATATTCATTAGTAATAAAAATTTTACGAGAATTCAATTATTTACAAATTTTTTATATAAATTTTCTTCTCAGAGATTCAATTATTTTCATAAATAGCAAGTTTTTTACAGGTACATATTTAATTATTTTCATAAATAATAAATTCTTTAGAGGATTTCGATTATTCTCATAATTAATATCTCATCAAAGAATTTCAATTATTTTTAATACAATAATTTTAATCGAATTCCTTAAAAAATATAATTATTCTTAAAAATTTTATTAAAATTCTTCGAAAGAATTCAAATATTTACAAATTTTTTTTATAAAATTCTTTATGAGAATTCAATTTTGGGAAACATTCAATTCTTCAATAAATTATTTATTGTTGTATTTAAATGATTGGATTCTCGTAGAATTTTTTTTAATAAAAATTGATTGAAAAATGAATTTTAGTTAAAATTTTAAATAATATAGTTGAATATTTCAAAATTTTTTATGAATTTCTTCGCAATCATTCAATTATTTTTATAAATAAAAAAATTTCTACAGGGATTCAATAATTTTCATAAATAATAAAATTTCTACAGGGATTCAATTACTTTCATAAATAATAAAATTTCTACAGGTATTCAATTATTTTCGTAAATAATAAAATTCTTTTTAGAAATTCAATCATTTTCATAACATTCAATTATTCAATAAATTATTTACGTTTGTATTTAAATTTTTGAATTCCAGGAGAATTTTCTTAAAAAAAATTGTAAAAATGGATTTCAGTTAAAATTTTAGATAAAAATTTGAATATTAAAAGAATTACAGAACGAATTTTTAGAAATAATTAAATTTTGAAAAGGTTTGAATTTAAAATTTTTGAAAATCTTAATTCTTCATTTTTTGAACTAATAATTCTGTGGAATTAATTTTTTTGAAAAAGTTTAATTGCGGATTTTTTTTTAAATTGTAGATTGTAAATAAAAAAGGAATAAATTTGAAAATTCTCAGAGAAGTTTTGCAAAAATTATTAAAAATAATGCATTTATAGAAGAATTTTTGTTAAAAATACGAAAAAAAATTTAATTTTTGAAAAGTTACAAATTATTGTAAAAATTTAATTATTTTCAAGAGTAATAGTATTTTTCGCAAAAATTAAATATTGTTCAAAAATAATAAAATTTAAAGGAATTCAATTATTTTCATAAATAATAAAACTTATCGCAGAATTTCAATTATTTTTAATACTATTTCAATCAAATTCCATGAAGAATGTAATTATTCTTAAAAAATTTATTACAATTCGTCGAAAGAATTCAATTGTTCAAAAATTTGTTGACAAAATTCTTTATGGGAATTGAATTTTAAAAAATATTCAATTATTCTATAAATTCTCTAGATTTGTATTTAAATAATTAATTGAATTCTCGTAGAATTTTCTGATAAAAATTAATTTAAAAACGAATTTCAGTTAGAATTTTAGATAATAATTGAATATTAATTAATCATTGTACCATGAATTTTTAGAAATATTTAATTTAATATTAATATTAAAATTTAATTTTGAAATTCATTTTTTTAAAAAGTTAAATTAAATTTTTTTGACATTTATTTAAGTTTTTATTTTCTAATATATAATTAATTATATTTAATTGAAGAATTTGCGAATAATTAAAATTTCGTAAAATTGAATATTGTAAAGAAATGAATTTGAAAAATGTCAAAGAACTTTTTCGAAAATTATTAAAAATAATCGATTTAAAGAAGAATTTTAGTTAAAATTTTAGATAATTGAATATTAAAAATAATTGAATATATTATAGCGTGAATTTTTAGAAATAATTAAATTTTGAAAAGGTTTCAAATTTTTGTGGCAACATTGTATATGTATTTTTATTTCATTTTTTTTTTTGTATTTTAATTTTATTTTAATACTTTTTTTTCAAAATAAATTTTTCTTGCTTCAAAGAAATAAATTTTCAATCGAGTGTTTAATTTAAGTTCAAGTTCATACTAATTATTCTTATGTAAATACAGATTGTAATTAAAAGCAGTGATTGTTAAAAGTTAAAGTGAAAAAGGAAAAAAAGCAAAAAGTAACTTTTCTATTAATTAATTAAATTTATTAATTATTATCTGTCTTACCTTATTGAAAAAGCTTTCATTGGTCTCGTAATTAGCATCCACCTTTCTATTGCCATAACTGTTAAATTTCCTATACTAGCCAAACCAAGTGTAGACATAAGCCATGCATACCTTAAAATTAAAAAATGTTGAGATATTCATATTAATAATTTATTATATTTTAGAGAAATTTTCAAATTTTTTTCGATATTTCCTGATATAGGTTCATTTCTATTTTTAAAATTCTTGATTAAATATTTTCCTAAACTTTCAAATGACTTTTATTTTTATTTAAATTTGTAGTGTTTTTTTAAAAATTATTTTGTTTATTAAAATGTTATTTCTTATGGTAAAAAAATATTTTAGTTTCTTTATTGTACAGTAATTTTTAAAAAATATTTAAAAAAGAAAAAATTTTTTTTCGAACAATCAAAGGAACGAAATATTTTGTATTAAAAATATTTTCATAAATTACTGATTGCAATTATTTAATTGATTGCAAAATTAAATATATTATTAAATATTATTAAACTTGTAATTAATTTTTTCGAAAGTGATTCAAAATTCCATGAAAATTTAATTTGAACAAGAAATAAATTTTTGTTCATTTAAACGTTCGAAACTTTAAGAACAATTTTCATTTGAACGTTTAAAACTTTAGGAAAATGAGACAAAATAATGAAAGTTGGTTAAAATTAAATTTTTTCTCTGGGTAAAATTAAAATTGCCTTGGAAAAAAAATTTGTTTTTATAAAAAGTCAGTTTATATAATTAAAAATTATTTAATTTATTATTTTGTTAATAATTATTTTTATTCTTCTTTTTAATAAAAAATTTTGGTAAATTTTTTACAGATACAATAAAAAAAATTTGAATAATAATTCGAATTTGGAAAAAAATAACTAGAGACTCAAATTTCTGAAATTTATTACGTTTATTATCAAGAAAAAGAATAAAAAAAGAATTTCTACTTAAATTATAAATTTATAACTTGTTATCCAATCGAATTAACTTGTTGGGGAAATTTTAATTTGACCAAGAGAAAAAAATTTGGTTACATAAATAAAGTTTGTCGTATATAAATTGTGACTTTATTTTAAATTTTCGTTACCCTCAAAAAACAAGTCAAAGGATAAAAAATATATTTTCTTTGAAAAAAAAAGCTCAGTTTTCTACTCCAAACTCATTAATTAATTAAACACACTTCAATATTTGAGGCGCTAATTAAAATTTTCCGCGTAAACCTTTTTTTTCTAGGTATACATATATAAATAATAAATTTACTAAAAAGACGAAAATGTAGAAAAGGATTATTTTACATTTGCAACTTTCTAATTAAAGTTTAATTTAATTTTCACTTTTGCATTTTTTTACAGCTTTGTAATATTATTATGAAAAACAATACAATTTTTCTTGAATTATCATACACGAGAAATATTATGTAAATTATTTTTTTGTACAGTTTGCTCTCAAGAAAAGTTTTCCAGAAGTTTTTCTCATATTTTCTTTCGAATACATGTAAATATAGATAATGAATGTAAATTTTTAGAAAAAATAATTTATTTTGCGATTACCTTTCTTGCGAAAGTGCGTCACATTTATATTATTTGTTATTATTATAATTTTTAGTAATAAATACAATAAATATAACACTATACAATTATTAATAATTGTAAATTGAAAAATAAAATTATAATCATAATTGGTCTATAATTATTTAATAGCGAATAAATTCATAATTCAAATAATAATTTTCTTTAAAAAAAGAGGTCACACGTAAATTTCTTATTACGTGTATATGAAAAATTTTGCGCACAGTGTAAGGTTTCATAAGGCTGACATAAATATGAGTTACAGAAAAGTATTTTTTAATTGAAGCAGAATATATGTTCATGCCTCATCATCATCTTCTCTGCAAAACTTTCTCTGTATACAAATGATCGTGAATTAAAAAATATAAATGATTTAAAAATTGCAAATTGAGTTTACCATAAATATATATACAAACTGCATTAATATTTCTTTGTCAATAAGAAATTACTTATACAGAAATGAAAGAAATTGAAGTCAAACATAAGTGAAAAATTCAAAACTATTGCGAGATTCTTTCATTTAGTTTTTTTCTTCTCGAAATATTTCATAAAAATCTTGAACTGTCGAGATGAACGAAATTTTTATGTTTGAACATTTTTATTAATTTACTTTGGCAAAAAGTCAGTCATGAATTCAAATATTAATATTTCTACTAATTATTTAGGTAATTATCGAATTATTAGTTTAATTCATTTTAAAACTTTATAATTTACACTAAAAACATTTGTTTTATTCAAATAACCAATTACTTGTCTACTAGCAAAAAAATATTTACTTTTAAACAAATAAATTTTTATTTATAAAAAAAATTACATATTTAAATCAATAAATTCAGTCAATTTAAAGCAAATACCACTACATAAAAATTATTTGAGTCCTAGCTTTTTTAAATTTTAATAATTTTTTTCTTTTTAAATATTTTCAATTTTAAAATTAATGTATTGAAACTTATTAAATTCTTGCATAAAGAATCTTTTAAAAAAATTTAAAGAGAATAATATTGAATTCCTTCGAAGAATTTTATTATTTATGAAAATAATTGAATTCTCACGAAGAATTTTATTAAAATGTAGAAAAAAATTAAATTCTTTCGAAGAATAAATACTATTAAAGATTTTGACAATAATTGAATTATTTCAAAAAATTTCCTTCATTTTTTTAATAATAATCGATTTTGTTAATAATTGTAGGGGAGAGTCTCCAGTTGTGAGACGGGTTTCATTTTTGACCCGTAAATTGTAAACGGGCAAACGAAATTGTAAATAAAATATACCGTTCGAAAGGTAACAGAAATACACAACTTTTATTAAAAGAAAGTATAGTGTTTCGATGAACTCAAAAAATTTTACGATACATTTTCCGAGCACATCGCTTTTTTCAAAAAAAAAAAATGTCTCCAGTTGTGAGACACTCATTAAAAATTGCTAAAATTTAATAAGTTTGACATAAAACGTTATGTTTAGTAGAAATAATTAAATATATTAATAATATATATTATTATATACTAAATAATAATATTTATTCGACAAAATATGACTATCAAATAAACACAATTAAATAGCTTCAACAAGAGCATTAAAATTGATTTCTTCTGAATCAATTGACTTTTTTCCACTTGACATGCCCAAAAATACTAGAAAAAAAAATCAAAACAACATTTAAATAGTATGCCTGCAAAGTCGTATTTTTTATGCTGCCCAGATGGGTGTTGACACCGTCTCACAACTGGTGATATGCTGTGTCTCACACCCAGAAATTGGCGCTATTTTGAAAAAGGAAAATTAAATTATTTTCAACCGTAGATTGGAACAATGCAATGTTGCATCACAAAATATAAGGAAAACACTAAAAGAAAATGCATTACATTTACCTTTTTCAATTAATTAAATTGCAAAAAAAGTACTTTGCATTTATTGAAAAAACGCTTTTTAGTCGATTATCACACACAGTGTTGGTATTTAACAAAAACAGTTTATATATCCGCCTCGGTGTAAACGAAAAAGTTGGCTCATATAAAAAGAAATGTTTTTATATAAACCAATCGGCTTTTTAATATTGCATGTTAAAAAAAATTGACTGTCTCACAACTGGAGGTGTCTCACAACTGGAGACTCTCCCCTACTTAATAATTTTACTATTAAAATTTTATTAAAATTATTGATATAAAAAATGAAACTCTTTTAGAAAATTTTATTAGAGATTTGTAAATAATTAAATTTATTAATTTCTGTTGAAGAATTTCATTAAGTTTCTTTTGCAAATAATGTAGTTTTTAAACAAAGAATTTTTTTTCAAAATAATCGTGTCTATTATTAATTATAATTAAATATTTGCGATTATTGAAGTTTATTAAAATTGTATTGAAAATAATTGAATTCCTGAAACGAATTTTATTATTTATAATAAAGAATAATTTAATTTTCGCTATGAATATTACTGCTTATAAAAATAATTCAATTGTTTTGAAGGATTTATTCAAATTTTTAAAAAAATAATTGAATTTTTTCGAAAATTCTTATTAAAAATTAAAGAAAACTGAATTCTTTTATAAAATTTTATTAATTATTAAAAATAATATAATTTTTGCAAAGAATATTTTACTGTTAATAAAAATAATTGGATTGTTTCAAAGTATTTATTAAAACTTTAGAAAATAATTGAATTCCTGAAAAAAATTCTTTAACTATAGAAAAAAAATTGAATTCTGGAATAAATTTTACTATACTTATAAAAATAATTCAATTGTTTTTAAGGATTTATTCAAATTTTTAAAAATAATAGAATTTTGTCGGAAAATTTTATTAAAAATTAAAGAAAAATGAATTCTTTCATAAAATTTTATTTATTATTAAAAATAATAGAATTTTACTATTTACAAAAATAATTATTTTGTTTGGAAGTATTTATTACAACTTTAGAAAATAATTAAATTCCAGAAAAAAATTTTTTATTTAGAAAAAATAATTGAATTCTGCAATGGATTTTACTATTTATAAAAATAATCGAATTACTTCGTAGTATTTATTAAAACTTTAGAAAATAATTGAATTTTTTTGAAAAAATATCATTAAAAATGAAAAGAAACTGAAATTCTTTCATGAAATTTTTTTAAAACTTTAGAAAATAATTGAATTGTTTTGAAAAATTTTGTAACGAATTAAGAAAAAAATTGAATTTGTTCGTGTGAAATTTTATAGAAAATAAAAAATAATTAAATTTTTTCGAAGGATTTATTAAAAGTTTAAAAAATAATTGAATTCTTCCGAAGAATGTTAGAAAATATATAATTGAATTCTTACGAAGAATTATATTTTAAATTTTTTAAAGATTAATAATAATAATGAATTATGTACTTAATGAGGGAATTTTTTAAATTTTGATTATGAAAAAATTAAAAAAAATATATTTAAAAATAATAAAGTTTATAATTTGAATAATAATAATAAAATATAATTTTAAATAATTAATTAATTTTTAATAATTTATTAAATAATAAATATCTTCTCTCTAAATTTAAAGTATTTAAAAATAATTAATTTGATTACAAAATTCAGTCACTGATTAAAATTTTAATAATACTAGTAATATATTAGTATAAATTACTATTTATTAGTAAAACTATTTGCTATTTACTAATTCAAAAGCAAAAAGTCAATCACTAATTGAAATTAGTAAACATTTTTACTAACCAAATCTTTTTTTTTTTAGAAAAAAAATGAGAAAATCTTATTTTAAAAAAAGTATAAATAATTTTTACCATATGCAGGTCTGATGACTCCAGTACCACCCACCATTTAAAGCTGAAGTTAGTGCCAACGGATTTCCCAAAATTGATACTAAAAAATCTCCAATCTGAAAAAAAATGTATTAATTATCAATTATTATTTTTTTAAATTCTAAAAATTATTATGCGTTTTGAGTAAGGATAATTTTAGTTATTCGAAACAATCGATTATTTGATTAAAAGAAAATTTTTTTTCCCCCAACAGTGATAGGAAATGTTTCGCTTATATTCACTACCTTCATGTGTAATTACCAGTCAATTAATGTCCCTAATTAAGCTCAGAAATAATTTTCACAAAAAGCTCATTTGCACGGTTCAATTGCCTTATTTGCATACTAATTAAAAAAGGCATTTTATTTAAATCCGTAAATATTCTTATGTTAACTAATAATTTAAACATTGGTATTTCATTTACCGTTATTTATTATTTTCAAATTAAACAAGCAAATAAATTCCCTCAAATATGGATAATTGTTAAAAATAAATAATAATTGTTAGTAAAATCTCAGTTGTAAAATCAGTGACTGACTTTTTGCTTTAGAAATTAGTAAAAAAAAAACTACAAAAATAGTAAAAAATAACTATAAAAATATTCAAATTTCACTAATTAAATTAGTTACAATTTACAAAAAATTTCAGTTATTTTTACATAATCTAAAAGTGACTAAAATAATAATTTTTTTCAAAAGTTTTCTAAAAATCAATGATTTTCAATATCTACTATTTCAATAAAAATTTTCCAAAAGAATTTCATTATTAGAAAAAAAATTTGAATAAAATTCTTCGCAAACATTCAATTATTTTCATAAATAATAAAAATTTTTACAGGAATTCAATTATTTACAAATTTTTTATGAATTTCTTCACAATAATTCAATTATTTTCATAAATAATAACATTTTTATAGGAATTCAATTCAATTTTGGGTAACATTCAATTCTTCAATAAATTATTTATTTTTGCATTTAAATGATTAGATTCTCGTAGAACTTTTTAATAAAAATTTATTGAAAAATGAATTTTAGTTAAAATTTTAAATAATATAGTTGAATATTAAAAGCATTAAAGCTTGATTTTTTTTAGAAATAATTGAATTTTGAAAATGTCAATCACTTTCAAAAGTAATAAAATTCTTCGCAGAAATTAAATTATGTTCAAAAATTTTTTAAAAGTCTCTTCAAAATTTCAATTATTTTTAATAAAAATTTCACAGGAATTCAATTATTTACAAATTTTTTATGAATTTCTTCACAATAATTCAATTATTTTCATAAAATAATAAATTTTTTACAGCTATTTAATTATTTTCAAAATAAAAAAATTCTTCTCAAAAATCCAATTATTGTCAAAAATTTTAATAAAATTCTTAGTAAAATTTCAATTATTTTAATAAAAATTTCACAGGAATTCAATTATTTACAAATTTTTTATGAATTTCTGCACAGTAATTCAATTATTTTTATAAGCAATAATAATTTCACAGGAATTCAATTATTTACAAATTTTTTATAAATTTTCTTCACAATAATTCAATTATTTTCATAAAATACTAAATTTTTTACAAAGAATCAATTATTTTCATAAATAATAAATTTTTTGCAGGATTTCAATTATTTTCCCAAATAATAAAACTCATCAAAGAATTTCAATTATTTTTTGTGCAATTTTAATCGAATTCCTCGAAAAATGTAATTGTTCTTAAAAATTTTATTAAAATTCGTCCAAAGAATTTAATGATTTAAAAAATTTGTTGATAACATTTTTCATGAGAATTCCATTTTAAGAAACATTTAATTATTCAATGTATTATTTATTTTTGTATTTAAAAAATTGAATTCTCGTAGAATTTACTAATATAAATGGTTTTAAAAATGAATTTCAGTTAATACTTTAGATAATTGAATATTAAAAGAATAGCGTGTATTTTTCGAAATAATTAAATTTTGAAAAAGTTTCAAACTAAAAGCATTGAAATTCTTAATTTTTCATATTTTTGACAAACAATTCTTTAGAATTAATTCTTTTTAAAAGTTTAATAGGATTTTTATTAAAATTATTTCAAGTTTTTATTTTTCAATATATATATATATTTAATTTCAGAATTTCCGAATAATTGAAATTTTGAAAAAAAAATAAATAAATAAATAAAAATGAAAATAAAAAAAAAAAATAAAAAAAAAATTGAATGTTGTAAACGAATGAATTTGAAAATTCTCAAAGAACTTTTTTAAAAATTATTAAAAATAATGGATTTATTGAAGGATTTTAGTGAAAAACACTAGAAAAAAATTTAGTTTTAGAGAAGTTACAAATTATTGCAGAAATTCAATTATTTATCAAGAGTAATAAAATTCTTCTTAATGATTCAATTATTTTTACTAATAATAAAACTCATCGTAGCGTTTCAATTATTTTTCATACAATTATAATTGAATTCCTTGAAAAAAGTAATATTATGTTTATGCAAGTTTTAATAAAATTCGACAAAAGAATTTCAATTATTTAAAAATTTGTTACTAAAATTCTTTATGAGAATTGAACTTTGAGAAATATTCAATTATTCAATAAATTATTTACTTTTGCATTTAAATAATTAGACTCTTGTAGAATTTTCTAATAAAAATTGATTTTCATTTCATAAAAATAAATTTCAGTTAAAATTTAATATTATAATTGAATATTAAAAGCAGTATAGCGTGAATTTTTAGAAATAATTGAATTTTGAAATGAATTTTTTTTGAAAAAGTTTAATTGAATTTTCTTTTATATAATTTATTTTCTAATATGCATTTTTATTAAAGAATTTAGGAATAATTGAAATTTCGTGAAATTGAATATTGTAAACAAATGGATTTGAAAATTTAAAGGGAGTATTTTTTATTATAGTTTTATTTTTTTTTCTTCAATTTTACCCGTTGAGTATGAGAGACAATAGCGAGAAAAAGTATTACCGATATATTGGCTCTACATTATTATTATTGTCAACATGTGAAAATTTCCCAACGGACTTTTTTTTTTTCTTTTTTAGAATTAAATTGAAATGTATAAAAATCTTTTAATCTTAAAAATAAAGTTTATGTACAAAAAATAATGGGAATCAGTATTTATCGGCGTTGACAAATTTTTTATAATTATTGTAATGAAGAATGGAAAATTATTATGAAAAAAATACTCTCCGCGATATGAAAAATGAATGAAATCTCCGATAATGATGAAGAAAAAATTTTAAATCAACAAAGTAAAAGATAAATAATTTCTAATATTCTCGTAAAGCGTGTATTTTTTTCGTATATAAAAAGTAACAAATTGGTCATCAGAGTATAATAAATTTGTTTATGAACCTCTTATCTCCATGTATATTCTTTATACTTTCGCCTTAAATAGACAATTATATGGTCATATATATAGTTTCTTAAAAATTAGTTATTTCACACAAAAGATGTGAGCGCGTTATAAAAGTTTTTTTTCTCTTTGCAAAAGGAAAAGAGCGATATAAAAAAATTACTCACAACTATTATTTATTTTTATTGCAATTTGCTGCAATTTATGTACGTGAATAAAACGAGCATTCATTTTATCCAATTTCCTATATACTTATAAGGGAATATTTTATGAGAATTTGGACATATTTGGCCAAGATATGAATTTCAATTATCTATAAGTTATTAATAATTCAAATTTTTCTGAAAATAGTTAAATTTTTTAATATTTATTTAATTAATTATTAAAAATAATTAATTTATAGAAGAAATTCAGTTAAAAACACTTAAAAAAAATTTATTTTTGGAAAAGTTACAAATAATTGCAGAAATACAATTATTTTCAAAATTTTTTTTAAATTCTTTTTAAAATTTCAATTATTTTTAAAAATTACACAGAAATTTTATTTTGTTACATTTTTATAATTTTCTTCGCAATACTTCAATTATTTTTATAAGCAATAAAAATTTCACAAGAATTCAATTATTTACAAATTTTCTATAAATTTTCTTCACAGAGATTCAATTATTTTCATAAATAGTAAATTTTTTACAAAGACTCAATTATTTTCATAAATAATAAATTTTTTGCAGGATTTCAATTATTTTCCCAAATAATAAAACTCATCAAAGAATTTCAATTATTTTTAATACAATTTTAATCAACTTCCTCGAAAAATATAATTATTCTTAAAAATTTTATTAAAATTCATTCAAAGAATTTAAATATTTAAAAATTTGTTGATAAAATTCTTTATTAGAATTTCAATTTTGGGAAACATTCAAATCTCCAATAAATTATTAATTTTTGTATTTAATTTATTTGGATTCTCATAGAATTTTTTAAATAAAAATTGAATTAAAAGCGTTATAGCGTTGATTTTTTTAGAAAGAATTGAATTTTGAAAATGGCAATTGTTTTTAAAAATAATAAAATTCTTCGCAGAAATTCAATTATATGCAAAATTTTTGAAAAAGTCTCTTCAAAATTTCAATTATTTTAATAAAGATTTCACAGGAATTCAATTATTTACAAATTTTTTATAAATTTTCTTCACAATAATTCAATTATTTTCATAAAATAATACATTTTTTACAGGTATTTAATTATTTTCAAAATAAAAAAATTCTTTGCAGAAATTCAATTATTTTCAAAAATTTTAATAAAATTTTTAGTAAAATTTCAATTATTTTAATAAAAACTTCACAGGAATTCAAGTATTTACAAATTTTTTATGAATTTCTTCACAATAATTCAATTATTTTCATCAGCAATAAAAATTTCAGAAGAATTCAAATATTTATAAATTTTTTATAAATTTTCTTCACAGTAATTCAATTATTTTCCTAAAATAATAAATTTTTTACTGGTATTTAATTATTTTCATAAATAATAAATTCTTTACAGGATTTCAATTATTTTCATAATTATTAAAACTCATCGCATAATTTCAATTATTTTTAATACAATAATTTTAATCGAATTCCTCAAAAAATGTAATTATATTCTTAAAAAGCTTATTGAAATTCGCCAAAAAAATTCAATTATTTAAAAATTTGTTAGTAAAATTCTTTATGAGAATTCAATT